AACACACCTAGTTCAAGTGAAGTTTATTTGATCAGCCCTTAGATTTTTGTGGAATCAAGTAAACAGGACTAGACTTGTAGACAGCAGTCGTCATGACGTGATTCTTTTTTTTTTAGAAATGAATACAGGAGCAATAGAAGTGAGGACTGCCTGAAAAATCCACTCGGCTACACCCACTTTCCCTCATCAGGGTGATATACAGTATAAACGGTACAGAAAGCATAAACAGAGACGTGTCATTTTAAAACAAATTTTAATGAAAAATAAAAAAAAAAAAAAAAAGAAAATCAAGTATAGTTGCATTATTAACTATACAATAAAAATATCTAAAGAAAATGGACTTGATTGAATGAGAAACAAGGGTCCTTAATTTCCCTCTCCTGGGGTAACTGCAGCTGTACAACGTCATGCCAGTCTTAAATATGATATAGAATACGAGAGAAAATGCAAAGTGCCCGACACCGCCTGAAGGGGGGAAATGGGGGGAGCAAATGCACAGAGTGAATAACCGCTTCATTTTTATTTTGTGCAAAGAAAACGCTCCCTTCTGAAATACTAGTTCAGCTATTCTTATTGGTTATTGCAGATGGTCAGTGTTATCAATACAATGTGTTTAATAATATAACCTAAGTACTTTTTATTTTAATCATACTAGAATTGACAGTGATCTGTGACTTAAAAAATGTCCATTAAGTCTTCACATTGCGTACTTTTGGGTCCATTCTCTTGCTAGTCTGTTGTATCTGCAAAAAAAAGGGGGGGGGGGGGGGGGGGGGAAATGACCTCAATCACAAACACACATATATACCTGTTATGACTTGCTATGTAACAGATTAGTACACTCTTAAGGGGGTAAAAAAAAAAAAGTTACATTTAGCAACTTAAAAGGCTCTAGAGGGAATGCTTAAAGGTGTTCGGTGGAGCTCTGTAATGGAGGGTTTTACTACCATTAAAGATTCCAAGTAGAACCATTAATAATAATAATAATAATCGTTTTCCCCCATAAGAGTTTAGAATCACACTCACAGAGCCATTAGAAGGTAAATTGTGGCCATGAAGGGATGCACACGGTCAGCAACAATACTCAGATAGTCTGTGGCATTCAAGCAATGATTGATTGGTATTAACGGCCCCAAAATGTGCCAAGAAAACATTCCCCACACCATTACACCACCTCCACCAGCCTGGACTGTTGACACAAGGCAGGTTGGGTCCATGGATTCATGCTGCTGGCACCAAATTCTGATCCCACCATCCGTGAGCCTCAACACAAATCAGATTCATCAGACCAGGCTACGTGTTTCCATTCTTCAACTGTCCAGTTTTGGCGAGTCTGTGCCCATTGCAGCCTCAGCTTTCTTTCTTGGCTGACAGAAGTGGAACCCGACGTGGTCTTCTGCTGTTGTAGCTCATCCGCTTTAAGGTTCGATGTGTTGTGCATTTTGAGATGCTTTTCTGCTCACCACAATTGTACAGAGTGATTATCTGAGATACTGTAGCTTTTCTGTCAGCTCGAACCAGTCTGGCCATTCTCCATTGACCTCTCTCATCAACAAGGCGTTTCCATCCGCAGAACTGCTGCTCACTGGATGTTTTTAGTTTTATTGCACCATTCTGAGTAAACTCTAGAGACTGTTGTGCGTGAAAATCCCAGGAGATCAGCAGTTATAGAAATACTCAGACCAGTCCATCTGCCACCAACAATCATGATGCCACAGTCAAAATCACTGAGATAACATTTTTTCCTCATTCTGATGGTTGATGTGAACATTAACCGAAGCTGCTGGCCCGTAGCTGCATGATTTTATGCACTGCACTGCTGCCACATGACTGGCTGATTAGACAATTGCAGGAATGTATAGGTGCACAGGTTCCTAATAAAGTGCTCAGTGAATGTATATTCAAAAGGATTTAATGATCTTATGGAGGCTAATTGGCTTTAATTTATACATATTACAAGTAACAGAAATCAGGTGTAAGACATGCTGCAGTAATGTACTTACTTTTCTTTGTCTGATTTGTAGATGTGTGCTATGTCTGGGACTAAGGGGTCATCAGGGTTTGGGTCACAGAGCAAGGAGCATATGGACAATAGAACTGTAAAGTTAAAAAAAAAAAACAGTGTTTACAATTTATGAAATACTAAGATTTGAAACAATATCTAAATGTGTGTAAGGAATAAACACACAGGGGTGTGCTGTCAAAGAAAAATAATCAGCAACCGGGTGGCGGCCCAATGCATAGCAGAGACACTTTTACCACACGGAAGTTGATTATTTTCCAATAACAGCATGCCCCGAACTGTTTTATTCCTCTTATACCACAGCGATTTGCCAACTATTACCATTTTTGGTAATTTTATTGACGTGCTTTTTATCGATTTATAGTTACATCTATCGTTCTGAAACGTCCGTGAGACAAGTTGGTTCCTGTCATCACTTAGGTAATAGCAACTATAAACGATCGTTCCCTCACCAACCTCTTTTTTCCACCGTTCTTCTAAACAAAGACTGGAAAGTACAACGTCCTCTATCCTGAGGACTTCAGGTCGCTGACACTGGAGACTCCTTCCATAAAGGTTCTACAGACGTTTCCTTACAGAAAACCTCACCATATCAGTGAGTAAATGTTAACTGTTTTTTTTTTTAATTAGTCTTAGATTATGTAGAATGTCCGCCATACCAGTCCCTGTGTATGAGCTGTTACTATAGAAACGATAATGTACCGGAACAAGCTCTTTATAATAAACGTCAACATACAAATCAACACCTTCTGACCAATCAGATTCAAGAATTCAACAGCGCTGTGGTATAATCCTAATATATGAATACGTGGCGAGACTTATAATGAAATGTCCGTACCTTTTGAAACTGTTAGTGCTGGGGACCACTGTGACCTCAAGATGTCCAAGCAAATACTTCCATTACTGTTTATGTTTGGGTGATAAATTTTTGTTGTAAATGCTACCTGTTAAAAGCAGAAAATGTCCGTTAAATCAAATCGCCATCGAATGTCGCGGAGGCAGACTGGGTTATTCCTAATTACCTTTGGAGGCTTGAAGGGATAGTCTGTGGGAAAGTGGATAGTAAGGAAGAAGACCCCTCCTTGGTATGGACTATCAGTCTGTTAGAGGAAAAAAAAAAAAAAAAAAAAGAAGGAAAATGGATGCCACCTTAGCTTTGCTTAGCATCCTGTATTGGAGCCTTCGTTTTGGGGAAATCTTAGCACAGGACCATTGCGTTCTTATAATCAAAAACAAAGATCAAAATCAGCTTAAAAGGAGAAACTACTTACAGGTCCCATTATTGTTGCCTGCCAGTGAAACACTGCAAAGCACAGAAAACCATAGGAGTTATTTAATAACAGGTTTTAACAAATAGACCTAGAGTAGACTGATCAATAGACCTACAGTCATCTCCAACAGGTCCAGCCGAGCACTGTGCAGGAGGGTCCCTTTGCAAATCTTGAAGCTCCTGAAATCACAGACACGCGTCATAAAAAATATAAAAAAGCTAAATGATTATGGAGAACCTGGAATGCCGTGTTCTCAACATTTTGAATAGGTATACACCATAACAAAGCATTCTGATGGACAGAATTAAGTGGTGTGATATCATGTTCCTGAGTACCGGGTGTTTATTATAAATATTTAGTGTTCAAGTAACCAGGTTCTGGCATTTAGGTGTCATGGGTACTGGTTATTCAGCATTCAGGTCCACCAAGGGCAAGGATTTTGTAATGAAGTAACCTGAGTACTGAGTGTTTGCTGTTTAGGTATCTCAAGTATAAACTTGGAGCTATTTTTAGTATTCTTTGAATACAGCATCAGGTATTTGGGGATGAGGTAAACCACCTGCCAGGGCGTCAGTGCCCTGATTGATCGGTTCAGATGTGTTGGGAGGAGGTTGAGAAGATTGACGTTTATTAAAAAAAAAAAAAAAAAAAAGGTTCTTACAGTAAATTGTTTTTGCAGATTATGTTTGAATCTGCGCTCATTAAACATCCAGGAATGCAGGAAGTTTTTGTAGTGATTGTGAAGTGAAAGTCATTAACTACATGACCTACTATACTCACTACTACATGGCCAGCTGGTGATTGCTCTCGATCTTGCTCAGGGATTTCTTACTCTAGAGGCTAATTTCCCTACACATTTAATGTCAGTTCAAGTCATTATCGATTTTTTTTTTTAATTCATTTTTATAGTTTTAGGAGGTCTAATATTCCAGTATGAATGTCAACCATGTTATTCTCGGAAAAGTAACAGGATTGATCGTTTGCTGCTAATGTTAATTTGTAGATGAACTATACGGCCAAAAGTATGTGGACGCCTGACCAACACACCCATTCCAAAACTGAGAATTAACATAGCCATGTTCCCCCTTTACTGTGATAATATCCTCCAGTCTTCTGGGAAGGCTTTCCACTAGATTTTGGAGTGTGGCTGTGGGGAATTGTGTTCATTCAGCTACAAGAGCATTAGTGAGATCAGGCACTGATGTTGGTGAGGAGGTCTGGGGTGCAATCAGCGTTCCAGTTCATCCCAAAGATGTTCAGAGGGGTTGAGGTCAGGGCTCTGTGCAGGCCTCTCGAGTTCTTCCAGTCCAACCTTGTCACGTCATGTCTTCATGGAGCTTGCTTTGTACACAGAGGCTTTGTCATGCTCTAACATGTCAAGTGGCTTTTCTTGTCTTTTCAACCATATACAGCTGGTACAGTACACAGTGAAACGAAACACTGTTCCTCCAGGACCGTGGTGCTACATAAACAACACAAACCTACCTGAGACTACACAGAGCTAACTAAAGACTACACAGACCTGCAAATGTGCGAACAGAGCAAGACTTCTTTCGTCTGCTCTCGTTAGAAGTCGCCACAGCGGATCATTGGTCTGCATATTTGATTTGGCACGGTTTTTACGCCGGATGCCCTTCCTGATGCATCTCTCACCAATCTTTATCCGGGCTTGGGACCGGCACTAGGAACGCGCTGGCTTGTGCAGCCTCACTGGCTGGGAATCGAACCCGGGCTGCGACGGCGAGGGCGGCGCTGAATCCTAACCACTAGTCCTCCAGGGACCACCGAGCAAGACGAGCACAAAATTTTCAGTTCCAGTGACGGGAAATTGTAATACTACAGCATACAAAGCCATCCAGCACAACTTTGGGGCAGGAGTTTGGATGTAAGGGTTAGATGTCCACAAACGTTTAGCCGTTTAGTGCATCATTCCAGCTGCCACACATGTTCCACCCGCTCGGCCTGTGTTTTCTCTAACTTAGCTGGAAGTTACAGTATGTATGTACTGTATATACTGTAATACCATCAAACTACTGAATACTGAATAACTGTTATTGCACTTTTACCCCGAGGGGAGGTTGCGTGGCAACCTGTGACGTCATATCTCGAGCAAAGTCAGAGCCACTTCCACATTCCCCAACACCGGAAGTAGTTTCAAGTGAAAACGACACAGCAGGGCTTTTAGTTAAACTGGAACACTCCTGATTTCTCACAATGCCAACCAGTTGACATGGAACCACGAGAAAGAACAACAAAGTGTAGACAAAATGCTAAGCTAGCTCATTCCCTGCTTTGTTCAGCCTGGGCCTTTCTCGAGACTGACAAACACACACACACACACACACACACAAACAAACAAATAAAACAGCTAAATATGCTAAATAAGTAGGTGGTTATAAGTTACAGAAATGTCATGTGTTCATATAGTTTCTTTTTTTGTTAACATTCTGACCAGAAACATGAACATATTCATAAACAAGGAAACGGATAACAAACGCAAAACTAGCCTTCTACTGTTAAACCGAGCTAAAGCTAACAAACAAATAAACAAAGTCACGTCACGTCCGAGTACAACAAAGTAACGCGAGCGAATCTCACATCCAATGACGAAGCGCACTAATGCTTCCATGTAGAATAGGTATATTATAGATATAAACAGGAATATTTATATCTATAATATTTAAACCTAGCTTTAACACGATATAAATACAACGCAGTAGCTTGTACACGGTCCAGGAATTAGCTAAGTGGTTAACATTACTAGCTAACCTTTAGTGTGTTGTTTAGCTAGAATGCTAACTACACTACATTCAGTGAGGGTGTGCGATTGTAAACAGAAACACAACAGCATTTACTGTATATAGCATTAGTGTTCCTGGAACAAGCCAATAAATAAATAAATAAATAAATACACAAATATACAAATAAATAAATAAATAAATAAATGCTAGGTTAGCTACCTGGAGAAAACTTTACCCTCCTATCTGTTCTGACTGTCAAATTCCTCCATGATATCCACTTCTTACCTTCTGTATTCTTTTTAACGCCATAGCACCGGAGTGTGTGTGTGTGTGTGTGTGTGTGTGTGTGTAAGTCAGCTCAGGAAGCCTGCCGTTAATGTGTCCAAGTTTATTGCTATAGAAGAGCTAACAATACTTTGTGTTTCCCTGAGAGAAGCTGGTGTAGATGATGAGACCGAGAATCGACCAACTTCTACTTCCTGGATGGAGGGGGTTAAATCCCAAACCACTCAACACTCCGTGTGCATGTGCACTTACACTGACGCAGGATATAAACCCAGTGGCGTGTAGAGGCCCTTTCTAGTGCACTGCGTGTGAAACACTGCGCGGTTTAGGATCGAGCTGTAGCCGTTTGGCCAACGTCAAAATAAAAGTCTTACGTCAGGCGAGTTAATTTGGTGAACAAGGCGTTTATTCATTAGTGTTGGATTCGTCGATGTAATGGACACACACACACACACACACACACACACACAGAAGTGTTTAGATAAATAATATTTAAATAATACACGAAAACATAATTTTTTAAAAGGTTTTTATTTTTATTTATTTATTTATTTATTTTTACATATTTTCACATTTGAGTTTTTAAAACGTTTTAAAAAAAGTCACATAAACAATTACATTCATAAAATAACCCCAGAACTCAGAGAATTATAGTGTTTATTTATTCATTATACACCCCTTCTTTCATACTTCATTCATTAACCTGTAAACAGAACGTATTTATTTATTTGTTTGTTTATTTATTTATTTGTTCGTTTTGTTTGTTTGTTTATTATTTGTTTGTTTGTTTAAAAAATTATTAACAGCAACAAAGAATACAACACAAACAAAACCATCATCAGTATATATTACAAAATAATAATTAAAAAAAATGAAAAAATTACATAAAGACAAAAGTCTGCACATTTCAATGTCATTGTTTTTGCATGAATTTTAAACTGCTCAGACATGGGGTTCTTCCCAGCCAGGTTTATTTATATATCTACAGTTAAAAACGAACAAGGCGAATGTGCCGCTGTGAATTTCAGAGTAGTCTGTCGGTATCCCACAATGCACCTGGGCTGCAGAAGGCGCCTTCCATGCTGCTGCAGAGGGCAGGGGGCTTCCTGGAGCTAACAAACACAACTCCGCAAATCTCAGCGACTTGTGTTGTTTTGCCGGTTATACTCTGTAATTCACACTCCAGGTCACAGCGTGAGAGTGTGTGAGTGTGCGTGTGTGAGTGAGTGAGTGTGCGAGAGAGTGTGTGAGTGTGCGAGAGAGTGTGTGAGTGTTTGTGTGAGAGTTCGCAGCATGGCTCCATTCAGCTTGGTGACAGTTGGCGCTAATCTTCTGGCCAGATCCTGGGGTTTGTTTTCGAGTGCAGTTACTGTAAGGTAAAGTATTACTCGTGTGTGTGTGTGTGTGTGTGTGTGTGTGTGTGTGTGTGTGTGTGAGAGAGAGTGAGAGTGAGTGAGAGAGAGTGATCAGTGTGTGAACTCCTTCATGTGCTGTTTACTTGCATGTTGCAGAAAGAGATTTGTTTAATATAATGGTGTGTGTGTGTGTGTGTGAGAGAGAGAGAGAGAGATCTCTGTGTGTGTGTGTGAGAGAGAGAGAGATCAGTGTGTGTGTGTGTGTGAGATCTGTGTGTGTGTGTGTGTGAGATCTGTGTGTGTGTGTGAGATCTGTGTGTGTGTGTGAGATCTGTGTGTGTGTGTGTAATCAGTGTGTGAACTCCTTCATGAGCTGTTTACTTGCATGTTGCAGGAAGAGATTTGCTTAATATAATAGTGTGTGATCAGTGTGTGAGAGAGAGATCTGTGTGTGTATGAGAGAGAGAGAGAGATCTGTGTGTGTGTGTGAGAGAGAGAGATCAGTGTGTGTGTATGAGAGAGAGAGAGATCTGTGTGTGTGTATGAGAGAGAGAGATCTATGTGTGTGTATGAGAGAGAGAGAGATCTATGTGTGTGTATGAGAGAGAGAGAGAGATCTATGTGTGTGTATGAGAGAGAGAGAGATCTGTGTTTGTGTATGAGAGAGAGAGATCTGTGTGTGTGTATGAGAGAGAGAGATCTGTGTGTGTGTATGAGAGAGAGAGATCTGTGTGTGTGTGTATGAGAGAGAGAGAGAGAGATCTGTGTGTGTGTATGAGAGAG